AAAGATGGAGTCTTGTCTATCTATAATTCTGTTGTGAGAGGCCACTGCTCAGAAGCTTCATTTTGTATTTTCCTCCATACTTCTAGGAAGCACACACTAATTTTTAGTTTTGTCTATCACCATTTCCCCATAACTGTGAAAAGTAAGTACTTAGCTTCTTTATATAAGCCTACATTTGCAGGATCATAGACAGTCACCATTGCTCATGATTTATTTGGATATGGCTTTGTGTATTACTCATGACCAAGGCAGATTGTATGCTTATGCTTTCCTATATTTCTTTTTATCAACATTAGGTTAACTGGAGCTGCTGTCTATGTCTACCTGGCCCCTCACCTTCTCCTGTCTGTCTGTCTGTCTGTCTGTCTGTCTGTCTGTCTACCTGGCCCCTCACCTTCTCCTGTCTGTCTGTCTGTTTACCTGGCCCCTCACCTTCTCCTGTCTGTCTGTCTGTATGTCTGTCTGTCTGTTTACCTGGCCCCTCACCTTCTCCTTGGCTTTTGTCATTTTTGCAGCAACGTCTTTTGATGTTCTCTACAAAGAGGGGAAAAAAATCTCTTTGCCTAATTTTACATCATCTTCAGATTATTCTTTAATGTCACAATTCATTTCATCCCTTCCTTGTGTTCTGGGTGGACTGGCATTCCTCTAGATGCAGCCGTGGTCTGGGTTCCTCTGAGGATTTCCTCTTCCGCCTAGGATTCTTGGTCCCTTGGTTGCCATGACTTCTGACTAGGTTTACTCCTTAATTCTGGTCAGACATTCCTCCGGGGCTCACTAAGACATAGCACATGAGATGTCCAGACTACGTTTTTATACAGTACTAAAGCGTTCTTGTATTTTTCTTTCACTGTGTCCACAGTTCAGGTAGTTTAGCTTTAGTGTGCTTGCCTTGAAAAAGTGGAAGGCAACGTTCATGGAGCTCCCGCCTTTGATGTTTGCTGAGTGGGCCGGTGAGCTGTACGCCACGGGCGCTCTCTCCATTGCCCCTAGTATTTAAACCGGCAAAACCTTCAGCATCTTTCTGTTGTTTTTCCTTATGCTAAAGTTTAATAACAATACATCTTGCTTAAGTTGATTTTCATCTGCTGTATTAGGTGGTCAGCGGTCTTCAGATCTGGAGACCAATGCCCTTCAACGATAAATGTTCTTCAGTTCCACTTGATACAATTCTAGACATATCTGGAAAGAGGGAGTCTCAGTTGAGGAACCTGCCTCCATTCTGGCGTGTAGACAAGTCTGTGGAGTACTGCCTTGATTGGTGAAGGGCCCAGCTGTGTGTGGGCAGTACCATGTCCTGAGGGGATGCTATTAGGAAGCAGCGTAAGTAAGCCGTAGAGACTGAGCCAGGGAGCAGCGCCTCTCCATGGCTCCTGCTCCAGTCCCTGCCTCCAGATTCCTGCTGTGAGTTCCTGCCCTGGGTCCCCCAGTGACAGACCTCCACATTGTAAGGTGAAATAAACTTTTCCTCCTCCAGCTGCATTTGCCAAATGGTGCTTTATCATAGCAATAGAAACCCTAACTTAGACAGTAGATACGATGTGTGTGTGTGTGTGTGTGTGTGTGTGTGTGTGTGTGTGTGTGTATATATATATATATTTATGTGAGGACAGTGTGGAGCCTTTTCAAAATAAGTTAAAGTTGTGTGATTTTTCTTACTTAGCTTTCAGCTGGATAAGCCAGTCATAAGGACTTACAAGGACAGTGCAGTAAAGGTCATGCCGTAGTAACAGTTGGGAATATCCCAGGGAACTGTCATTGTGTTTCCTAGCTACAGCCATAGCACGTGGTCACTGCTCAGAGGACAGGAAGGAGGTTGCTCCTCCTTCCGGGAACTCAGTAGACGGTGAAACTGCTTTAAAATACAAAGTAGGCAATATTTCCTTCCTTCCTTCCTTCCTTCCTTCCTTCCTTCCTTCCTTCCTTCCTTCCTTCCCTGGAGACGGGTCTCGCTATGTGACTCTGGTTGGACTGGAATTCCATATGTAGACCAGGCTGGCCTGGAACTCAGAGATCTTCCCTTGTCTTCCAAGGGCTGAGATTAAAGGCCTGGCCAGCACGCTGTGCCCCTGTGCTCAGGTTCCTCATAGGCACAGTATTACCATCCATCATGGCGTGTCGGGGGCGAGAAGAGCCACGGAAGCCAGCTTCCAGTCATATCTTGCTACACCCTGACGCCTTGGGTTAATGAGCCGAGGCACCTTCAACGGCAGCGGTGGGTGTGCCAGTACATATGGCAGCGGGCACTGATGTGTGCTTCCCTGTGTGGCTTCACTTCCCAAGTCCGTAGTCACTCCTTGTCAGCTGTGCTCTGAAAACAGTAGCCGGGAGATCTTAGAAACAAAGACGCCACTCTCCGTGAGTTCAAGCCCAGCCTGACCCGCGGAGCAAGTTCTAGGATAAGGCTACGCAGGAAATCCTTGTCTCGAAAGGCAAAACGACAACAGCAAAGGAAGTCACAAATGGCAGTTTCAAACCTCACTCTGAGCACTGTGTTGAGGTCTCACACTGTCCGGCCATCTTCTGCATGCTTGCGGATCATCCACCATGCTTGTTGAGCATCCACGCTGTATACACGGCCTCCCCACACTCAGCCAGTGTTAGGTGTATCTTATCCTCCAGCACGGTACTGTAGAGCTTGCTGCCAAGCGACCTTTAGGACAAGCCCGGTGTCCCAGTGTCACATGCCTTTCTTCATCAGTTAAGCCCTGTCCTCTCTTTGCCTACATGGGGTCCAGTGTTCATTTCACCCGGTTTCGGGCATTCTGTCAGTCTTGGGATGCAGGGGACTACTGCTTCAATTCACAAGACCTGGAGCAGGAGCGACGGAAGGAAATGTGTTTACGAGCAATGATGTACGGTAACATAGTTCTCCGGATTTCTTACCATTTGTTTTATCCCCACGCCATAGTAAGGAAAGAAACACAGTGTGGAAGCCCGTCTCAGCAAGGCAGGCTTGCGGGACAGTCCAGCTCATCTTCCCTGTGCCCTGTGATTCAAAGGCAATGGCTTTGCATGCTTTCAACACGCAGATAAACAGAGGCCATCACTTCTGATACAGATCTCTGCTGCCCGCCAGCCCATGGACCCAGCCATCCTTAGGGACCCAGGTCCCAGTGGCTGGGGATTTCCCTGTGATGTGGAAACTGGCTTTGAGCAGAAGCTTCTCTGTGCCTGGATATCTGGTGGGAACCTTGGGGATTTTCAAGGGAAGAAAAGATGTGGATCTGAGAGGAAATGGGTCTTCATTAATCTGGGAAGCCTCAATATCTAACACACTGTGACACTGTGATTTTATTAGTGGGCTAAACCCAGACTGCTCTGTTCCCATGGAAACATACATGCCTCTCTCCTGAACTGACCCCCAAACACAGGCAAGGAACAAAAAGTTTTGTGTGCTATCCTGACATGAAGTCTATGATGTGAAAAAAAAGTCACTTTTTTTGTTTTTTTCAAGACAGGGTTTCTCTGTGTAGCTTTGGAACCTGTCCTAGAACTCGTTCTGTACACCAGGCTGGCCATGAACTCACAGAGATCCGCCTGCCTCTGCCTCTCTCCCGAGTGCTGGGATTAAAGGCGTGTGCCACCAACGCCCGGCTTAAGAAAGGCAATTTTTAAATTACTTACATTTTATTTATTTATTTATTTATTTATTTATTTATTTATTTATTTATTTTTGAGACTCTCATGCAGCTCAGCCTGGCCTCAAACTTCATAGCCTTAGACTCCAGCTGTGATCACAGACATGTGTCACCATGATAATCTTTTAAACTTTAATTTTATGTAAGACAGGGTCTGTGTATGCAGCCTTGGAATTTGTTTTGGAACTCGAGTATCTCACAGAAACCTGCGGGTCTCTTCTTCCCGGTGTTGGGTTACCCGAGGAAGCCATCACACAGGCTTCAATCTCAAAACTAAATATTTTTCTAATCGCGAGTGTGCTTTCTCTGTGTGTTCCTCATGTATTAATTGGCGTGCACCCGAGGCCAGCTTTGCACGCCTGCCCTGAGTCCTAGCTGCAGTGGCGGCCTCCATTGCTTACTGTGGGTGAAGTGACTCCCTCTGCAAGGCAGTGAACACAGTGGGTTACAGACTGTCAGGAGCAGTCTCTCTGGTGCCCACGGAAACACGCAGCGATGTGTGTACTGCTGGACAGTGTGGGCAGCTCTCTCATCCTTACCCTAGCGTCAGCTGTGCTCAGATGCCCGTGCCGGAGACTGCGTGTACACATGTAAGATGCCCGTGCCGGAGACTGCGTGTACACATGTAAGATGCCCGTGCCGGAGACTGCGTGTACACATGTAAGATGCCCGTGCCGGAGACTGTGTGTAAATGACATGTAAGATGCCCGTGCCGGAGACTGCGTGTACACATGTAAGATGCCCGTGCCGGAGATTGTGTGTAAATGACATGTAAGATGCCCGTGCCGGAGACTGCGTGTACACATGTAAGATGCCCGTGCCGGAGACTGCGTGTACACATGTAAGATGCCCGTGCCGGAGATTGTGTGTAAATGACATGTAAGATGCCCGTGCCGGAGACTGCGTGTACACAACATGTAAGATGCCCGTGCCGGAGACTGCGTGTACACATGTAAGATGCCCGTGCCGGAGACTGTGTGTAAATGACATGTAAGATGCCCGTGCCGGAGACTGCGTGTACACATGTAAGATGCCTGTGCCGGAGATTGTGTGTAAATGACATGTAAGATGCCCGTGCCGGAGACTGCGTGTACACATGTAAGATGCCCGTGCCGGAGACTGCGTGTACACATGTAAGATGCCCGTGCCGGAGATTGTGTGTAAATGACATGTAAGGTGCCGTGCGGAGCGCACATGTAAACCACATGTAAGGTGCCGTGCGGAGCGCATGCCTGTAGAGTGGGTGGATGCAGGGGGACCGAGGCCTGCGGAGCTGCAGGCTGCCCCGGGTCCGCACGCGTCCCTCGAGGGCTGCGGTCCAGGTCGGCCGGCCCCGCCCCTCGGGGCGGCCCCGCGCATGCTCGGCAGTGCGGGCGGCGGGGCTGGCGGGGCGACCGGGGGACCCCGAGGGATGGAAGCGCCGGCGCCGGCGGAGGCGGCGGGATGCGAGGAGCTCGGTGGGTGTGTGCGGGCCGGCCGGCCGGGGTGCGGGCGGGAGGAGGGAGGAGGGGGGAGGGAGGAGGGCGGGAGGAGGGCGGGCTTCCCTCCCCCGCGCCCAAGGCCCAGGGCGCGGACCTCCGCGTCTGCGGCGACATCCGGGGCGGCCCTGGGCGCAGCGAGCACGGGGCGGCGGGGCCGGGGCCGGGGTGATGGGGGCCGGGGTGACGGGGGTGATGGGGGCCGGGGTGATCGGGGCCGGGGGTGACGGGGGTGATGGGGGCCGGGGTGACGGGGGCCGGGGTGACGGGGGCCGGGGTGATGGGGGCCGGGGCGGCGGGGCCGGGGCGGCGGGGCCGGGGTGATCGGGGGCCGGGGTGATCGGGGCCGGGGTGATGGGGGCCGGGGTGATCGGGGCCGGGGTGATGGGGGCCGGGGCGGCGGGGCCGGGGCGGCGGGGCCGGGGTGATCGGGGGCCGGGGTGATCGGGGCCGGGGTGATGGGGGCCGGGGTGATCGGGGCCGGGGTGATGGGGGCCGGGGTGATCGGGGCCGGGGTGACGGGGGCCGGGGTGACGGGGGCCGGGGTGACGGGGGCCGGGGTGACGGGGGCCGGGGTGATGGGGGCCGGGGTGATGGGGGCCGGGGTGATCGGGGCCGGGGCGGCGGGGCCGGGGCGACGGGGGCCGGGGTGATCGGGGCCGGGGTGATCGGGGCCGGGGTGACGGGGGCCGGGGTGATCGTGGCCGGGGTGATCGGGGCCGGGGCGGCGGGGCCGGGGCCGGGGTGATCGGGGCGGCCGGGCGGCGTGGTTGCAGACGCCCCAGGCAGAGGCTCAGGTCCTCCAGGGCAGCAGCTGGAGGTGGTGCCTGGGCCTGGCCTGGCCCTGCAGGGCGCTGCTGCATCGCGGCGGCTGCCTGAGTGTCCTCAGGTCTCTCGCCTGTGTGTGTCTGTCTGTCTCTCCACCCGCCTTGTCTGTCCACGTCAGAGGGAGGCGCGAGCCGCTGCCATTGGTTTTTTCCAGGATGTTTAAAGGAAGTTGCCATTGCTTTCTTTTCTCAATGCTGGGCGTCCCTAGGTGAAGCCTGGGTTGACTCTTTGCTCCCCAGCTGTTCTAATGGGGGCGTTGGTGCCAGGGAGAACAGGACGCACCCACATCCACCTGGGCGGTGACCTGCTTGCTGCTGTCAGAAAGAAAACAAGCCAGGATTAGGATAAAATGAGGCCCTCCCAGCTGCACACTGCGCTTAGGAATATTTCTAAGTCCATGCAGGATGTCAACCCCGAAGAAAGAGGTGGAATTAAAACACACTGTAAAGTAATTTATAGGCCGGCATTCCTGTAATAACGTGCCGGCCCTTTGAGTTTTCTTTAATGCCTCAACGATGATAGAGGCTGCAAGTGTAACGGAACTTTTATTGACGCCTCAAGCTGGGCGCTGTACTCTTTGCTGACCGATGCCCACTATCATGATCCACCCAGGAGTTCAGCCTGGCGAGTTCTTTTTACAGTTAAGCTCACTAAAGGCAGGGCCATGCCACTACAAACTCAAGTTTATGTGGCTTTCTAGTTCATCGGTAACTCAATATCCTCCGTGTGAGGGTATTGATAGGAAGGAGTAGGGTAACACATCACCATTGAAACCCGTGAAGCTGGTGTGGTAGGAACACACACCTACAGTCCCAGCCTTCTTGGACTGAGGCAAGAGGACCTCTGGCCTGTGCCCCACGGTGAGTTCCAGGCCAGTCTGGTCCAAAGAGTGAGATCCTGACTGACCTCTTCTTTCCAGAAAAAGTCTGTCTTTTTACTCAGCAATTTTATGTCAAAGATGTTTCTCAAAAAAGTAAACCATGTGATGACGTTTTACATTAGGCTGAGAGGATAGTTCAGTGTGGAAGAGTACTTCCCATGCAAGCCGGTGGCCTGAGTTCAGACCCCCCAGAACCCATATAAAGACGCGGAGTGTGGCTCTCTGTCATCACTGGACCCTGGGATGGGAGATAGAGGCAGGACAATCACTCAGTGGCTTAGATACCAGCTGCATAGCACAGCCACAGAAGAGTTCCTGCCTCAAGCAAGGTCGGAGTGAGAATGGGCTCCCCAGAATTATCCTCTGACCAACACAAGCACACACACACACACACACACGAACACACACATGTACATGCACACTCACATGTGTGCACACGTGCACACACATGCACACACATGTATGCACACATGCACTCACATACACAAACACACAGGCACTCACATACACAGACACGCACACACACGCATGCGCGTACACGCACGCATGTACGTGTGCACATACACGCACGCACACACAGGCACATGCACATGTAATTAGACATGTAATTACACATGTAATAGGGTCAAGGTAGTTACTGTCCAATGAAAGGCCACGGGCTAAGATGTGGTTTAGCCATACAATCATCTACTGCCTAGCTATTAAGCATGGTATGGAAAAATGTTCACCATATATCATGTCTTTTAACTGGAAAAGCGTGTTAGTTCCCTTCTCCCCAGCCCCCCTGTTTTGAATTTTTGAGGTGGGCGTCTCTCTGTGCAGCTTAGGACACAGGAAATATGAAAAAGACCCGCCCCTCCAAAAACAAAACAAAACAAAACAAAACAAAACAAAACAAAAAAACCCCAAACCCATCAGGATGCCTGCCTTGGCTATTGTATTTAGTAAGCAGATAAAGACAGTGAAGAGCCCAGATTCCAGTCAGGTAATTACACATCTGTCCAGTGGCGGGCGGTGTGAGGGACTGAGGATGGCTGACAGGATTAGTTACTTACTTTTGAGACAGGGTCGTCCTATGCATCCATAGCTGTCTTGGAACTGAGAGGTCTGCCTGTCTGCCTCCCGAGTATAAGTACCAGCACTGGAGGGTGGGCCTAGCGTGGGTTAGGTTTTAGAAGGGTAACGGGAATGTAGCAAGGCCACTAGAGTATTGTTTAGTATGCCTTAAGCCCTGGGTTTGATCCCCAGCACTACGTAAACTAGGTATAGAGGTGCAGCACTCAGAAGGTAGAGAGAGGAGGATTAGAAGTTCAGGGTCATCCTCTGCCACATAGCAAGTTTGAAGCCAGCCTGGTTTACATGAGACCTTGTTTTAAAAAGCAATGCAGTAGTAAATCAAGCCTGCTTCTGGAGGCTCCCATGTGAAGAATGGACTAAGGGGAAAAGGCAAAAGCTGGAGGGCATTCCATAAATTTAGCAAAGGCCAGCGTGGCAGCAGTGACGGAAACACAGAGGTGACTGGACTGTGCATGTTAGGATGTAGAGCAGCTTGGCTTCCCAGGAGACCGGGTGAAGGGAGACAGATGGCTCCAGGGACCTGCATGTCTGAGGAATGAAGGTGCCTTGGATTGAGGGCTTACAGCAGTTTTATAATGTGTCCAGGCTTTTATGTGTCCCTTTAAAGGAAGGGGCTTCTTTTCTCCCCCTTGAGTATGTGCTGGGCTTAACAGCTCACTTCTGATGAGTGGCTGATGTGACGATTCGCCACTTCAGAGTTAGGCTGCAAGGGCCTTCCTCTTTGCTCTCTCATTAGGAGTACTCACTTGAAGGGAAGCCATGTTGGTAGGATACCCAGGCAGCCCGAAGACAGCATCCCTGGGGTACAGATTGGAGGCCTCCTGACAGGAGTCAGAGACCTTTTTTTTTTTAATGAAGTAAAAAATAATTGGTACCACACTAGAGGCGGCTTGTTTGACGGGCGAAGTCATGTGGGTTTGAAGAGGAGGTGAGGCGTTTGATTGAGAGCTTGTTCACGTGTAGAGTATTGGAAGGTGAGGTCTAGGGAGAAAGCTTGGATAACACTGACGTTGTGGGGAGGGCAGGGGAGGGGAGAGGAGGCAAAGGAGGGGGGAGATAAAGAAAGGATGGACACAATCATGACTGGTATTATGAGGTAGTGTTGGGATGGCGAGATGCATTTTTAGAAAGTGCTGTTACACCATTATCTATATGTGTTGTGACTTTCCTTGTTGGCGAGTGTTGCGTAATGTAAAGGACGTTTTAACATTGGCCGTCTGTGGGTAGCATTGTTGGAGATGAGGATTTACCTTCCTAGCTCAGAGGCTGGCCTTTGTGTCATAGGCCATTGGGGATTTCCAGACTGTTTCTTACATACTATTCTCTCAACCACAGGAATGAAGTAGTCTTATTTCACAGTCAAGATAGTGGCTCATAGGTCTCGGTGACGACATTGTGCTTTTTTGGTAAAGAAACCATGTGTAGTTTGTCTGATTCTCATTGCCAACATATAAGTGGTTTCTTATAAGAAGAGCAATATAACATTACTTAATGCATTTAACACTTTCATAGAAAGAAGAGGGTACAGATGGCTCTGTGATCCATCTGTACCCCTGTTAGCTTATTCCTTCGTTGGAATGTTTTCTCTTTATTTCCTCCTCACTTTTTAAAACATCGCAGTGTAGCATGAATACGTGGTTGCTCTCCTGATTCTTCATAAGCTATGACTGCCTTTGTCTGAGTCTATAACCACAGTGTGAAGTCAGGGTTGTGTTTTATAGAGGGGGCATGTGCCCTAGTGAGTAGAGTAAGTTGCTTATTGCCGTATTCTTAGCAAGTTCCAAGACTTCATGTTTTGGCAGAGGTCTTTATCAGTAGCTTGCCAGAATTACTGCATGAAAGTAATGAGTGCTGTGAGGCTTTAATACATATTGCTGGAGCTTAAGCTGTTTTAGGTTGGGCAGCTGGGGTGACATAAGAGATCATCCCTGTTCTGCCTCGTTCAGGTTTAGCGTGTGCGCGTGTGTGTGGGCGTGTGGCACATAGTATGTGTGAAGTGCATAACACTGAGTCACATGCGTGTTCCTTATTCATGCATAAGTTACCCACTCCTAAATAGAAATAATTATGCCGCAATGATCTGAAATCCACTGCTTACTAGTATTTTATAAGGCATTATTAATTTTATCTGTTTTATCATAGTTTTTATTAGAACGATGTGATTTACTGCTTGGCCAAAAAAAGTGTATCAAAA